TAGCTACTGCACCACCTAGCAGTAAATTAAAGATCAAAGAACACTCTTGTTCGAGATGAACTGGACAATGATAAAGAATGAGAAAGGGCTAGACTATTAAATTCTCATTTTGTTTCTATTACTAAGGAGAAGAATCTCAGCACTGGGAAAGACAGAACAAAAATGGTTAATAAGGACTTGAAACCCAAGACAAGTAAGAAAGTGGCGAGAAAGTCCATGCTGTTGTGAGAAATGCTGAATTAGTAGGTTCCCACATAGGTTGCAAAGAAAAAAACAGGAAAGGTGCTGAATAGCTGTTTCTACATAATGCACATAACAGAATGCCAGAATGAGCAGGAAGTGACATTCCTCAGGCCAGTTAAGCTAGGTTAACTTGACAGCAGGGTTCCTGTTTTTTTGCAGCCCAAGGCCCAAACTAGCCCAAGCAGGTTGGGGGTCGATGTCCAGGCACAAGAATCTGCCACTACTCAGGCTCAGTGAACCTCATGCATGTTAACTAAAGAATCAGGATTGTATTTCCACCAATTGTAACCTGGATTGTGGTTTCTCCAATTAGAATATGGAATTGTGGACCTAACCAATTGTGAAACTTTTGATTGTAACTTGGACCAATCCATGTCTTGGAGGGAGGGGTAAAGGGACCAGATTAATAGTATAAAGGTCGCTTTCACTTCTGTGCTCAGTGTGCTTCCTTCTTGGGAGAGAGTGCACCCGATTCTTGTGAAAATTGAATATAGGAATTTCTTCCTTCACTCTAAAAGAGCTGTATCCTGTTATTTGGACTCTAGGCTAGCTTGCAACTGGGGAAGCAGTGGAAATGGCAGCCGTCCCAGGCTAACTCCCCAATCCTGCCAGTCCTGAAGGTTGTTTATAACACTGTTTTCAAGTTATTTCAGTCATGTCCAACTCTCCATGACCGCATTTGGGGTTTTCTTGGCAAAGACACTGGAGTGATTTGCCATTTCTTTCTCCATCTCATTTTACAGATGAGGAAACTGAGGCAAACAGGGTTAAATGACTTGCCCAAGGTCACACAGCTAGTGTCTGAAGCTGGACTTGAACTCCATGGCCAGTGTGCTATCCACTGTGCCATCTAGCTGCCTAAGAAAGTCCATAGATTTCCTCAATGAGTTTAAGTCATTGGGTCCAGACAAATGCTATCTCAGGTACTAAAAAAACTGGCCGACAGAATTGCTGACACTGTCGATGATCAAAAAGTGAAGAACAGGAGAGGTGCTGTAAGTCTGATGATAGGAAAATTCCTGATTTTCAAAAAAGGCAACAGAGCGGATTCTTAAGACTCAATAGGCCAGAGTCTTGATGTGGATGCCTTACAAAATTCTGACGTTATTAAAGGGACAATGTGTGTACATTTAGGAAGTAAATGTTATCACTGTGAGCCAGCCTGGATTAACAGCAGGTCATTTAATCATAGGTTTAGACCTGGAAGGGAATACAGAGACCATTTAGTCTAACCCCTTACTTTTATAAATGAGGAAACTGAGGACCCTAGAGTTTAAATGATTTGTCTATTGTTAAATATACAAATTTAACAAATAGATTATTAAATGATTTGCCACACAAGTGGCCTGCCCAGAATTCAGACCCAGGTACTCTGACTCTCAATCAAACATTACATCCATCGTACCATGCTGCCTCACTTAGAGAGGACATGATGGCCATCTACAAATATCCTAAAGGTCTGTCACATGCAAGAAGAATTAGACTTGTTCTCTTTGGCCTCAAAGGACAGAACTGGGAACAACAGGTAGAAACGGAGTTTTTAATGCAAATATAAGGAAACACTTTCTTTACAATTGGAAGTAATTCCAAAGTGGAATGGGCTGCCCTAGGAGGCAGTGGGCTTCCCTTCACCGAAGGTCTTTAAGCAAAGGTTGTATGATCACTTGTCAGGGTTGCTGTAGAGGGAATTCCTACCCAGGTATGGGCTAAAAGACCACTGAGGTCCCTCCAAACTCTTAGATTCTGTTATTCTGTTAATCTCTATTCCAGAAGCTTTCTACATGCTTTGTCAGAAGGCCCAGAGGTCTAATTTATAGGTACAGACCCAAAATTATTTAACATTTAATGGGCCATTCACTTTTACTTCACTACATCCCTAAAAGTAAGATTCACATTGACATCAGGAGGGAAAGCAAAGCCAAGAATGAGACAAAGAGTGAACTTTTTTTCAGAACTCAGAGCTTGGTCCCATTTGTGTATGGGGTGCAGAGAAAAGCATGTCTAATAAGCCTAATATTATTCCAAATTAGTATAACTCAAAATCATAAGATATTATTTAAATGGAAGGAGGAGGAAGAACCAGGTTCATTCATCCAATTCTTTATGTTCCTACCAGCCTTTGGATTTATGACCCATTAGCCAATATTTTATGATTTGATAATATAGCACTTATTTCATTTGATCCTTGTAACACCCCTAAGAGGTACTTTCTATAGGATCCTCTTTTACAGATGAAGAAACTGAATTTATGTAAATTTGCCCTGTGCAAAAAGACCACCCAAAGGTCTCTTTCCTCAATTACCATTTAAAGCCTCTAATGTCAGAGCTTTGCCCTATGAATCTGGTTAGAGATAGCATGAATTCTATACCTATGGCATACTAATTTCCCTTTCTATTTTGTCAGGGTTACCAGATTGACAAGTGTGTTTAGGGGCAGCTAGATAGCACAGTGGATAAAGCACCGGACCTGAAGTCAGGAGGAAGGACCTCAGTTCAAATCAGGCCTCAGACACTTAACGCTCCCTAGCTGTGTGACTGTGGGCAAGTCACTTAACCCCAACTGCCAAACCAAAGAAAACCAAAATAAAACAAGACAAACATGTTTAAACTTGAATATAAACTTTCTTGGTGACCTCATCAGCTCCTATGGATTTAATGATCAACTTTATGCTCCAGACTTAAAGATATATATGTGTGTTTATACATACATATATGTACATATGCACATATATAGTTGGTTATCCTTTGTTCTCAAAGAAGAGCAAAATGACATCACTATGTTGGAGTCAAGGTATAGTGTCTCTGACTGTGGCTGATTAGACCAATACCAACTTGGAATGCTATACCACAGCTGGGTACAAATAATCCATATGAACATTTGGAGTGGAGATGTCTCTAAATCTGTATATCTCAAATTCCTTTTAAGCTACTGAAATTCTGCTTCACTCATAGAGCATACCACCTTCTTTGATGCAGGCACGCCATGCTGGGTGGTTCTTTGCCAGCATCTCTCATGTCATGCAATTGATTCTAAAGTTCTTCAGAAAGACCTTGAGAGTATCTTTGTATCCCTTCGTCTGACCACCATATGACTGCCTTCCTTACATGAGTTCTCTGTAAAATATATCTATATCTATGTATGTATATACACACATATATACATATATCTATGAAGCCCTAGTCTCTCTGGAGCACCAATCTTAAAGCTGCCTACTGGATATTTCTAACTTGATATTCCAATGGCATCTCAAAACATATATATATATATATATATATATATGTATATATATATATATATATGCCTAACAAAATTATCTTTCCCTAAAACCTACTCTTTTCAAAAACGAATCTCCTTTTGTAAGATCACCACCATCTTTCTAGTCACCCAAGTTGAAAACCCCCAAGTCATCCTCAACTCCTCTCCCTTATAACACATACTCAATTACTCAACAAGTCTTGTTGATATTACCTCCACAACATGCCTCACATGCATTAGCTTCTCTCTGTTCCCACAACACCATCCCAGTTCAGGCCCCATCAACTCCCTCCTAGACTATAAGTCTTCCTTCCTCATGTCTCTTCTCTTCAATCCTCCACAAAATTGACAAGGTGATTTTCTTAAGGACAAGTGTGAACCTATTACTTCCTTATTCAATAAACTCCAATGGTTTCCTATTGTCTCTAAAATAAGTCAATCATTGAGGATTTAAGTACAAACATATAAGAACTCCATATAAAGCCCTTCATCATTCATCTCCAACCTACCTTTCCAGGCTTATTATAAATTACTTCCCTTCACACTCCCCTTCACTATATCAATAACATCACAGTCCCTACCCCTAGCTTCTGTTTTTTACTTGACTTTCATTTCCAAATTTATCTTTCTTCTACCTCACTGACCCAGGACACCATCCCTTATGACAGAAATTAAAAAAAAAAGTAGGGAAAAAACAATTCAATACATCAACTGAGCTTGAAAGTTATATGCAGCATTCTAAGTCCATAGCCGCTAAAAACTGCAAAAAAGGGAAGATGAATTTCCCCATTTCAAGATTAATTATAATTACACAGCATTCAGCTTCATCTTTTTGTTGTTCTTTCCATTTATACTGTTGTCGTGCCCATGTTTTTCTGGTTCACTTTATTGCATCCAGTCCTGTGAAATCTTCCATGGAGTCTATGATTTCTTCATATTCAATGTTTCTTAAAGCACAGTAATATTTTATTATATTCACACATCATAGTGTTTGCATATCTCCAAAGGGGATTACAGCATGAAACCAAAGAGTTGATCACACCATTAACCAATCCCAAGATGGGAAAATGAGCTGGGCATTCTATCCTCCCTTTGACAGTCAGTTGTGGGGTTTATCTCTAACACAACCACGCCTATCCCTTCACCCATTCTCCCTGGACGTTCCCCACTTCCTAAACTGCACAAGAGTTCTTGAATTCACCCTTCTTCATTCTGCCCTGAGGGCAATTATAATCTAACCACGACTCAGGCATCCACTTGCAGTAGCTGAGGCTGTGCCATGGGAAAACTTCTTGCTCTCCCATAGATCTTCCTCCTTTTTCTCCCTTCCCCCAATAGCCCCCATAATCTAGTAGCACAGGCTCTAAACTCTGGGGCAGTGGCAAGTAAGAACCCCACCCCAACTCCATTTTTATTTTGGATGGAAAAGAGTGAGTCACACAGGCTGAGTAGTCGTGGATAGGTTACATCTTTCCCCCAAGACACTTCCCTCTTCTGTCTGAACTTACCTATATGTCTGTTGAGGGCAGCACCAGCAGCATAGTAAATGAAAAGAATATCAGCTCTGAATTCTGAGGATGTGGGTTCAAATCCTGCCCCTAATATTCCCTATATGATAAAGGGCAAGTTACTTAACTTCTCTGGGCTGCAATTTCTTCATAAAGGGCTGGATTAGATGCCCTGAATGATCCCTTCCAACTCTACCTCCATAATCCACCATTATTTCAGTCACTCATATTTAAGATCTCCTTGTCATCCTCCACTCATTTTCACTATCTATATCATATCTATATCTAGGCAGCTGACAAATCGCGATGTCTCTCCAACCAGTCCCCTTTACTCCACTCACAGGGCTACCACCTCTTGCCTGGACTATTGCAGTGACCTCCTAACTGGTCTCCAGTTTCCCCACCCAACTCTGATCCATTCTCCAGATCCCTGCCAAAGTGATTTTTCCTAAAATGCAGGTCTAATCATATCACATACTTTCCCCAGCCACCTCTCCACTCAGTAAACTCTATGGTTCATTATTAACTTGAGGATCAAATATAAACTCCTCTGTTTGGCATTTAAAGCCCTTCAAAAACTGTCCTCAGCCTCTCTTTCCAGCTTTTTTAGATATTATTCTCCCTCTGGTATTCTATGGTTCAGCCAGACTGATCTTGCTGTTTCTCACACTTGTATAAAAATACAATTTAAAAATATCCAAACATGAATAGGAAACTAAGGTTCATCAGCTATTAGCAGTCATATAAAAAAAAAATAAGGGGAATATATCTGTATTGAAAACTTTCAGCCAAGTTGAAATCAGAGAAAACTAATTTTTTGTTCGTTTTCACATGGCGTGTCCTAAGTAATCTACACACGGAAACAAACATTTCTCCTGCTGAAAAGTTGTTACGTTCACTTGCTGTTATGGCCTAGTACTTGACTGCTATTATATCTTTCAAAAAATTAATTGCTTGGCTAACTTCATTGACCAAATTAACTGATTAAAAAATAATTAATATTTACATCTGCCCTATTCCCCAAGAGCATATATGGACAGTACTCACTTTACGTTAAGTGGACTGTTCAGCAGATCTCTACATAAAGCAATTTTTACATAATTCGAGAAAGAGAGAAAAAGAGAGAGAGAGAGACAGAGAGAGAGAGAGAGAGAGAGAGAGAGAGAGAGAGAGAGAGAGAGAGAGAGAGAGAGAGAGAGACAGACAGACAGAGACAGAGAGAGACAGAGACACTGTGACTTGCCTAAGTATTAGACCTAGTATTCAAACTCAGGTCCTATACCTAACAAATCTTTCCACTAGATCACGCTGCACTTCCCCATTGATTTCTGGAATCATCACCAGGGTTCTGTCAGTCTGTGATCTCCCGACTCTCTTCTGTTAAGCAAGGATTACCCAAACAGCAAGCTCTCAATAAATGCCATGGGCACACTGAGGGTTTCTTGGCGAAGCATTTGTTTTCTAATCAATGTAAGGCTTTAAGGATCAAACTGACTGACAGAGCTGGCTGGGTCCGTCAGTGTAGGACGCTCAGGAGGAGACCGATTCCCAACTGATCTTGACTCCCCGTGGGGCTTGTTGCAAGGTTCTAACGAAATAATAGATGTAAAAGAAAGCATCCTATTAGCTTATTAGCTTATATATATATATATATATATTATATATATATATATATATATATGCGCGCAAAGTGTTCGCGTCGTTCCGGTTGATACAGTCAGCAAAGCTTTGCAAAACTCAGTATTTGCACATGTACAAGAGTGTGGGACTCCAAAAGTGCCCTAGATGGGGGACAGGAGACAGATTTACCCGGGTGATTGACTGTGGAATGGGTGCAAGTTGAGCATCAGGTAGGCAGGTGGTGGCGAGGCAGGGAGCGGGGTGGGGCGCGCGATCTCGGCGGGCGCCCGACTGAGCCCAGGCACAAGAGGGAAGGAGGGAGGGCAGCTTCGCGGATAAACCAAGAACGAATCCCCAAAGCAATTATGACGCCTCTGCAGCCGGGCGGGACGGACGTCAAAGGCCCCGCCGCAAAGACAGCCTCAAACCGAGCCAATAGCCCTCGGCCGCCGGCCTGCGCCAGACCTACACACTCGAACACTCCAACCCCGTGCCCTCCTTCCGCGCGCCAGGCGCCGGCCCCGCCCCCGAAGCGCGCCACCCCCGCGGGGCTACTCTGGTCCCACCTCCCGGCTCGTGGGCACGCTTGGAAGCCACTCGGCCACGGCGCGCGACGTTCTTCTAAGCCCCGCCCCCAGGGCGAGGGCGCGTTCTCCTTCTCCTCTCCTGCCCTCCCCGCCCCAGCAGTTCCGTTACCAGCGGGAGGAAAAACCGTCTTCCCGGTCCCCGCCCCCTCGCCCCCAACGCTCTACTCCCTACTCCCCCCGCGACCAAAACACAGCCGGCTACGGAGGCCCCTAACGTACAAATATCCCTCTGCCCGTCGTAGGTTCTGTACTCCTGCCGCTCCCTCTGGTCCTAGGGCCCTCCGGCCAACTGCTGTCAGGAACTTAGGCCGTTTCCTTCCAGAGGTAGTAGTTCCTGATTCCCGTCACGGAAACCGGAGTCTCCTCAGCTGCTGCGGCCTCTCCCAACCCTTCCCCCCACCTCGCGGAATTGTGGCGGGAGGGGGAGGAGGGAGCCAAGGCGCCTGCGCGGAGAGGCCGCTCTCCATCCGGGTCTCTGTCCGTGCGGTGCAGCAGGTCGGTAGGCGGGAAATGGCGACTGGCTGAGGGAGCTGCTGTTGCTGCTGCTGCTACTGCTGCTGTTGCGGGGGAAGCGGGAGAGACACCACACGGTGCGCAGCCGGGACCGCCGCCGGAGTCCGAGGACACTTTTCTACCGTCACAGTCAGGTAATCCCCCTCCCCGGGAACGGCCGCCGCCGCCGCCCCCAGCCTCTGCCCTCCGCCTCTTCCAGGGCCCTTCCTGCCGGGGTCTCCTCCCCCTCTCACCCGGGTCCCGCTGCGGCTCCGGAGCCTCCGTAGGCAGGCGCTTTAGTGCCTCGTGCCTCCGGTGTGTGTGGAGCCGCTTGCTTCTGGACTTTCCCCCCGGGGATCGGGTAGGGAAGCTCGGTTCCCGCCAGCTGCAGTCCCCCGGGCTGCGGCCTGTGTTGTTGTTTGACGGGGAGAAATGTGTAATGTTCCGGCTCCTTCACCTCTTGGAGCCCCAGCCCTGGTTGCTCCTCTAGGCCTTAGAGAGGTGAGGGTAAATATTCTTCTTGCCGCGCTTGGCCCACCAGGTGTCGTGAGTGTGAGGATGTGTGTGTGTGTGTGTGTGTGTGTGTGTGTGTCTGTATGTGTGTGTGTCTGTGTGTGTGCTTGTGCGTGTATCCATTCCTCCTGTGGATCTTGGTTTAGGGGGCGTTGCTCTCAGCGGCATCTCAGTTTTTATAAACATAACCCCTGGGGGTCAGAGGTGGGTAGGACCAGTCGTTTCACCAAGTCCATTTGCCTACTGGACCCATTATCAGGTTGTCTTTCTTTTTTACCATCCCCCCCACCCCCCAAGCAAGAGACCAAATAGTATTGACCAATATACTAAGTAGTGGGGATGGAGGTGGGGGGGAAGCAGTTTAGACTGAAACTCTGGTTCTGTGCTTGGTGGCATTTACCTTTCTTTTGGTATTAAATATCAGAGTTGGGGGTTCACCTCTGCGTCCTTGAACTAGACCAAGCTCTTCTAAATAGACCCTCTCAATCCTAGGAACATATAAATGTAATGGGTAGATGGAGTGATTAGGAAAGTCTTTGCTATTAGAACCTTCTTAAAAACTGCCAGGGTGTTTTCAAAGGAGGTGTACTTATTAGCTGTGAAGCTTAATTAGCCACCTCCAAGGCAGATACTTTCTGGGCCCCCACCCCACAAATTCTGCCCATTGGTGCATGTACAAATTAGTACCCTGAGTAATGATAGGTTTATTGGTATAGTTTTCAGTTTACTTATAACAGTTATGTTCTCCTCTAGTGTCTTTTCACTCGCTTTTGCTTATCCTTCTCTACCCTGTCCCTCCCCCCAAAAAAGCCTTATCAGATTTTAAAACTGTAGTTTGCAGTTGTGCTATTATTACTACAAATAGCAAATTAAACTACCTTTACTTGATGACCTGTTCCTAAATATTATAGCAGGGAGTATATACATAGATAACTTTCTTCATAAAGATAAGTTACAAAGAATTTTGTGACTTTTTGGCATTACTGACTGGTTTGTGTCCTAGTCATAGTTTCCACTTTTATCCCTTTGTAGCAGTTTTAAAAATGGGGGGGGGATGTGTTTAATTTTTGATTACAGCAATTTTTATTCAAGTCAATTCACACAAATGGAAACATGTGTTATCTGGCCCATCTTTGAGAACTCAGAGGCCTTCACATTTACAGAAATGTTATTAAGAGATCAGAAGTGGCAAAAATCATTATTCCTATTTCATAGTTAAAGTTTGCCCAAGGTTACATGGTGAGTCATTGGTAGAACTTTAAGTTTATGTTGTGTTAATTAGAGTTATTTAGAAATAAAGTGAACCTCAGTTTCCCCCTTTCAAAAAATTGAGATTCTTGTGTGTAAGAAACAGTAGAGTTGTAGTTGTGGAAATATGTATGTCACTTGCTAAATAATTTTAAATGTTTATTTATAAAAAAGATCAAATGAGTTCCCAAGAAGTGAATTGTTGGCTTAGTGTGGAGATGGTGTTCTATTTACTTTACTTTTGGACTTCAGTGGTAGTCTTCAAGACATTCATGTACTTAATAAATTTCATTTTACAGTAGCTGAATGAACTTATAGAATGATGCTTTTGAGAATTCATAGCCATTGAGATTTTAAATTCTTCACGTGGGAGCCTTTCTCAGTTCTTTCAGTATTACTTGGAAGGATACAAGTTGAGTTCTCTCAGGCTCTGTAGTAGTTGGGCTACTCAGAAAGACAAACAGGATTGATTTGTTTTGCTATACTTCGATAATTCTAGTCTTTGTAGTGACTTTTCTTCCAAAACTCTTGAGCGTTTAAGATTAGAGTATCTTCATTAAGTGAAGAAATTGAGCTTTAGGTTGGTTGTCACTTTCCCAAGGTCACCTAGCCAATCTGTAACAGAGCTGAAGGCATCAGAACTCTCAAGTTTCTGATTTCATGTTCATGACTTCCTCCTCCGGACCAGTGCCAAACAGATTGATGAAATGTCTAAAAACCAAACAAACTTGTTATCTGTTCAGAAAAGACTAGCTTGGGTATTAGGACGGGTTAAAGTAGAGTAATTTGTGTTCTGTGTAACGGATGAAATTATGAAAAGGATTTTTGAGATAATTATTAAGTGGTTTGTGGTCCTTTGAGAGAAACTGTCTAGTTATAAGAAGGCTTTTTTTTTTATGATGGTGTACCTTGTCATGAGTTGAGAAATTTGAAAGGGGAAAATACACTTTGCCTATTAAATAGGTTCAAAGTTATCACTAAAGGGTGGTCTACGTTAAGTCTTCTAGGAAGGCAGAAAATGTGGCTTGCCAGTTCTCTACTGAGTGGTCTACTACATGCTTTGTAATTTGAGGACCAGAAGGTAATAGGAGGTGCAAAGACAGCTCTAGTTTGTCCCTTGCTTGACATTTACCATAGGAAGGTACATAGGGGAAAAGCAGGTATCAGTAACCAGGGGTGAAATGGTTGGATGGTTTAGATTAAATTATAATAGTCAGGGCCAAACAAGTAGGCAGAGTAAGTAGCCAGGGATGAAGTATAATTTTAGGACAACCAAAGCCCTACAGTAAACTAAGTTGATAGTTTGTTTTTTATCATTGCCAAAGCATAGTCTCCAGGTGGTTGCCTTGTGTTGACATATTGTTTATTGGCACTCATTTGAACACAGGTTTGTCAAATGAATTGACAGTTAATAGCAAAGCCCCTGAGACACTTGAACTGAATTAAAAAGGGTAAGTTTTTAAAAGTAGAGAATGTAGGGAAGGTGCAGAAAAAGGGATATAGAATTTTACTTGAGTGGGGTGATCCAGTGGGAAGGCCCTTGTTAGCTGGATGGCAGCATGAAAACCTTTTAACTAGGCTTAAAAACTAGGATGAAAGTTCTTTTAAAAATGAATCATTTGACCTAATATGGCATCTAGTCTTTAAAACTATCTATTGCAACTTTGCATATTGATTTTTGTAGCCAAAAATTGTACACTGAGCTAAAAGGGATCCAGTGAACCAATTTATTTTCCCTTCTTGATCTTCTCTCATATATACATATGTGCACTCATGAGGTGCGAGGACAGGCGCGCGCACACACACATTCTTCTTTGTACAAGATAACAACAGATTTGTTTTCTAAAGGTCCATATTAAGAGGGCTTTGCACATTAATGTATTACATTGAATTGTGGAATAGGGATGAAACCCAGTTACATAATATTTGAGATTACAGTCACACATAGTCTTTAGTTTAATTTTACATCAGTGTGGGCCATTGACTATATACACTAGTCATCTTTCAGATATATATTCTTTTTTTAACAATACATAGACATGTCCCACCTAATTATCATTATATATTCCATGAGAACCTTCTTAGATGAGATTTTTTTCAATCTGTACCTATTCTCACTTAGGGAAATCCCAATGAGAAAATTCCTTATACCAATGCAGATCAACTCCTGTTTTGCAAGCTATAGTCTTATATAGCAGACAGGGGCATTGAGGGGTGATATGGCCCATTGCCGTGTGTGTGTGTGTGTGTGTGTGTGTGTGTGTGTGTGTGTCTTGAACACATGATGTTTCTTTAGGTATGAAATGCTGCATTTTCATGGTTTTCTTTTAGTTTCATAGAAAACTAAAGATGAGAGACATTTGTGGTTCTGTGAAAACAAATTAGACAAAACAACAGGGTCCTTTAATTCGTTAAATTGTAAATGTGAGATATGTTCTCTGGGTAGCCAAAATTCAGACAATAAAAGCTTAAGTTAGAGCTTTACAGCCTCAGATAATTTTGGGACTTGGGTGAGGGAAATGGGAGCTATTTATGTATGTATACATGCTATTAATCCTTAGAGATAATTTGATCATTTCTCCATAATATAATATAAATTATGATAAATTTCAGGGATGCATGTTTAGTGAACCATTTAAAAAATATTAGCTTCAGGGGGCAGCTAGGTGGCGCAGTGAATAGAGCTCTGGCCTTGG